TCAAGCCATTCGAAATGTTAATTGATGGAGGACCATGTGCGAATCTTAACTTGTGTGTCTTTCATTCTCTAACGGAAGTAATTTTCTGGGTGGTGCCAGTGCACAGATATGTATTTGCTTTTCCATTGACGAGTTGCTCATGTTCCACAGGAGGGTACATGGCCCGGAATTGCTGCTGTCCTCTTTTTATGTAAGATGCGCCGATTGATAGCAAAATTGATGTTTATTTTTTGGGAGTGATGTTGTGGCAAATGGTGGAAGGGATCCAACAAGCATCTTTTGTCTCGGCGCCATTCCTCAAACTCCTCTCAAGCGGCTGATGGACCGTTTGATCCCAGTTTACTGCTCACATCGCCAGCGGCACCAACATTGTTGGGAAACATGCCCAGCGGCGCGCCGTATTTGCTTGGCTTTGATGCAAAATCACAAGTTCCAAAGTGCGTCCCCTTGAACTCGTTGAATAGATTGTAACATTGCAATTTGCATAGGCAATGATCATGGGCAACATCTATCCGTAAAACCTTGGATGCAGCCACGGCCTGCCCTGGGTATTTGTGATCTAGAACAACAGATTTGTTGATTGTTCTCCTTATCTTACTGTTTCACCTTATTTGATGTCACGTTATTACATTTTAATATCTTTTGGCGAATAGGTGATAGATTCAAGTGTTATGCCTTACCGGTCTCCTACTCCCACACGACAAAACACTTACAAATTCGCAACAACCGATGTACTTTGCTTGAGGCTCCCGTCCTTCAAGTTTGCCCATTTACTCTCCTAGGAACTCGAAGCCCATCCGGGGCTGAAGATGTGCCCGAACTGCTCGTGCAGGTTACGGGCAGTGATGGTCATTCAACCACACAGTCGAAAATGCCACTCCCTGGGTAAACAAAAGACATCTATGTACGACCAGGTGGAATCCGACTTTCACCCACCCCAGTCTTTGATGCATCGCTCCGCGACCTCCAAAGCACAGCAACTGGAAGCGCCTCCGCCTCGCAGGCCGTGGTGTACGTAAAGTTCCCGGGTGAGCATCGGATCTTGCTCCAACAAAAAAGAGAACTACGGCGCCACTGTCTAGGAACCAGAAGTGGATTCGCCGGGCAATAAAACCAGTACTGGCAAGGCGCTTGGTCCGTCCGCGCCCAGGTATGATCCCGGAAGGCCGTCCAGCTCTGAATCAATTCGACGACCTTCAGGGCGGCACGGGAAGGCGATGGTCTATAGCACGATCGGGGGGCCTCCTCCTTGCGTAGCTTGAATTGTCACTCCCAAAATTCCATGACATTGTCGTCCACCGGAACGTCTTCCATCAGAATGTAATGGCCCGACCGTGCCCGTTTGAAGAAAATGCAGCTGATGCGCGCAGCACAAGCTGCGCCTAGAGGTACCTCTGGACCCCCCGGTGGGCTCCATCCTCTGTGGTGAGGCCGACATGCAGGTTGCAAAGAACACCTCGATGGGCACCGGGCGGTGATGTTGCACCGGAGCCGGAGCCGCTCGTCGCCAGGCACAGGCAAGGATGCGGGTGACGGGGTCAAAAGCAGAAAAGCCCTAAGGTTCCAGGCCTTCTGGTGCACCATGGAGATGGCTACCGGGTATTGGGGGAGGGATCAGGCCCCCACCTTCCCCTCGTCTTGTAAGAAATGGATGTACCTGCAAATGGATGTCCATGCAAATGGATGTCCACTGCACAGGCAGCACCACCAACGCATGGTCCTCGTAGAACGCTAGAATCAGAGGAACTTGGCCCGCATGATGCTGTGAGTGGCTTCTATATAAGAGGCCGGAGATTGCAGCTCCGCCCAGGTCCGGTCGCCGTGCAGTAGGCCATCCAGTTCTGTGCTGCACAATGCGATACAACAGCGGTGGCTTTCGTAGCGGTAGCCCTGCCAAAGGTGGCGGGGCATTGGCAGCGGTCAGTTCTTCCTCTGATGCGGCCTCAGATGGCGCAGCGCCCTCATCCTCGGGACCACACGAACCGCCCGCAAGTTCCAGCACAGGGGCAGGAGGGACGCCCGTTGGCTTGGGTTCCCTGGAGAACAATGTCGGCCTATTGCAGAATGAACATCTCCGCCCGCGCCATCGCTCAGAGCGGGGGAAGCCACACAGCGCTTGGCCAGTCAGGCGCCAGTACCGCCGCCTCCCCCTCCGACCTCAAGCCGAGGAAGGACACCAGTCTCGCGGGGAGGAGGCTCCATGGGTGATTGCACCAGGGCGTGGTGCCGCACCAGGTTTTTTGGAACGCGTCGACTTCTGTTGTACAGATGTTCAAATGGTTGTACTGGGCACAGAGGGCATTTTGCGCTGACACAAAGTGGTCCACTGTGCAAGCCCAGAAGCTGCTGGCGACCTTCCGGAACATTCGCGGATTCAGCCCGTAGTCCTCCGAAGTCCGTATACGCAAAATTGTTCTGGCAGTACATTGTCAGCCGAACAAATATGCTCCGGCTCTAGCAGTATCCGCCATGCCATACACAATACCTGGACTTGGTGTAGGGGCCTTAGGAGCCCGGAGGCTTTGGTAGTGATCGATTGAAGGCAATATAAGACAACCTGGTTGTCCCTCAACAAATGAATCCACTGGTAAGTCGCCCTGGGGGCACCGGTGAGGAAAGAAACTGAGGAGAGCAAAGGGAATGGCCTATATTTCATAGACATTAATGTGAATGACATCCCGATTACACAACCCACGAGCAAGAAACGAAGCATCCGCTCCAACCAGCCGGTATGTAGTTCTAGCTCCCTTAAGGGAGACTACGGGTGGGCTGCGCCGGTGATTCATACTGCGCACTCAGGCCCCCAGTCCCCTTGGGATTTCTGGCCACCCTAATGCCGTGGGTCAGTCAAAGCACCAAATTAATAGGTGCCGCCAACCTTGGCGCCCTTGGACTTTGGCAGGCTTTGGCGCGGCTGAGGGGTGGCGGCTATTTAGGCCTCCCCCTCTGTCCCCCTCCTTATCTTGTTTCGTTTTCCGTCACTGTGTTGACACAACCCGAAGGCACCGAGTGCCTTGCCCTCTCCGGCCGTTTGGTCGAGTTCTTTCTACGAGCCACACACCGGCCGAGCAGTGGCTACACTACCAAGCCATGCGGTTCAACGACGGTCTTCCTGCAGCTTGGCTCGACATTGTATGGCTTTCCGGACCCCCGGATGTTAATCCAATCAGTCACCGACCCGGTGGTCTGACAGTCAGGGGTACAGTTCATCATGATGATATGGCACTGCGCTATTGGCGCACACAGGCATTGGGAGTTGTGCGTTTGTGATCGCCTTTTGCTGCATATGCTTCAGCAGGAAATTCCTCAATCATTTGCAACACAACTGGAGAGAACGCCGGCGGCTGTTCGAATGCTGCCATCATGGGTTGCTCAGCATCTAAAAACGGATGCAGAGTGGCAGAATAGACAAGGGCAAAATTTCCGTAGTTAGATGGGCTGTCTATGCGCACATACAGTATGAATTATTGCAAGCCTGTTTATGCAATTAACTGTCCTGTTATTATGTTTCTGCCAAGCATTTCTCTGATCAGGAAAACTTGCATATCCGGGATATACAGGGTATCCAGAGCATTCACGATATGGTGGCATCCTGGGTATAATACCAATAGGATAGCCAGGATATGACCATATTGTGGATATGCATACACAGCCAATGGTGAGCATATCATTTCACAAAATCCAAGTTATTGATATGATATGGGAACCCCGTATGCCCTATTCGTGTCCAGGATATGAGGTTGTAACGATTATCATCCCTGACCGTGTACTGACTTCAAACATGAAATTTTACGTACACTACCCGTACAGGAAAACCCGTTGGCACAATTTGGGATAAAATTTTGCGCCGTGCGTCTCTTGAATCGCGACACCGATCCGGGTGCTCCTACAGATCTGAAAACTGTCGCCGTCGCGATTTGAACTTGTCGAGTGGCACACTCTTGCATTGGGATAAAATTTTGCGCAGTGCGTCTGTTGAATCGCGATACCGATCCGGGTGCTCCTACAGATCTGAAAACTGTCGCCGTCGCGATTTGGACTTGTCGAGTGGCACACTCTTGCATTGCTTGAGAGAACTCTCATACACTGCCATAGCCTAGGAAAGGCCGTGTGCAAATTAATCTAGGAAATCAGCAATTTCAGTCCGTCCAACGGACGCTCAAACGGTCCATGCTTATGCTGACAAGTTGCAGCCATGCTGAAGTGGTGGGGAGGGCAGTCCGAACGGCTCTTGGATTGGACCGCGCTTCTCCTCGTGCAGTTGTGGAGTTTGTCTGCGGCGTCCTTGTTGGAATGCCAAAGGCACAGGGAGCGGCCTGCGTAACTGTCTCTGCGAACACGTGGCCCAGACTCTGGAGATACCTCGTCGCGAACGCTGCTTTGTGGCTTGCGCTGCCCAACTCGTGGCTGCTGGGGTCCAGGTGCTTGCGGGCGCGATGGGGTGAATGGGAACGCCATGTATTTGCACTCTCCAAAACCAATGCGCCGGCCCCAATTTGAAAAAGTCGTTTGCCAACCCAAATGTGCAATGCATACTGCAACATTCATATTCTAAGCTATTATTATTGATTGGAAGGAGGAAATTTGCTCACGGATGTCAGAATGAAAGAAAACAAGTCGAGTCAAATATTACATTATTCCATATCCCCTAAAGTACATTGCAACATTCAAAATTCCAGAGTCATGCTTGAAGTCCCATTCGAATCCCAAATACCCGCAAAACAATATTTCCCACCATTGTACCTACACCGCGGTCGTTAAAAAACATGTCAAGGAGCGGACTCTCCCTGATACGCACATATCAAGAAACCTCAATCACTCCTTGCATCAACATCCGCAAAACAAATTTTCGCAAACCGACTACTCGGCTTCCTTCGTCGACTAATGTCAACTGCTCAACGAACCGTTGAGCGACCCCCCTGTGACTCATGCAAAACGTAGCTCTACGGCCCAACGTGCGCACATTGACAATGTGCGCACATCAGGTATACCTAGGAAAGTTAGCCCCGCTGGAGATAGGGCTTAGGAGCGGGCTTGGTCGAGGGCTTGACGGGCAGCGGCGGCGGTGGCTTCTTGTCGCACTTGCCAGTCCAGCACACGTCCTCCACCTGCGAGCAAACCTCCTCGTACTTGTACAACTTGCACGGCCCCTTCACCTTGACGCACTTCTTCACCTGCTCGTACTCCTTGCACTCGGCGTTCACGTACTTGCAGTCCACCTCCTTGGTCTCGTACTTGGCGCACACGTCCGTGGGCACGTACTTGCAGTCCCCCTGGTAGTAGGCGTATTCCTGGCAGCCGCTCTTGATCACCTCGCAGTCCTCGCCGTACTCCGTGCACTTGCCGTAGGCGTCGTACTTCGCGCACTCGCCGTTGGGCTTGCACACCTTTTTGTCGGCGAAGACTTTGCAGTACTTCTTCCGCTCGCACTTCTTCTCCTTCTTGTACTCCACGCACTCGTCTTTCGTCTCGCAGACCTTATTCTGCCTGTAGGCCTTGCACTTGCCCCGCGAGTTGGTGCATTTGTTGTTATAGCCGTATTCCCTGCACTCGTCCGTCTTCACCTGCTTGCACTCGTCCTTGTAGGTGCACACCTTCTTGTCCAGCTTGACGCACTCCCACTCGTAGCCGTACTCCTTCTCGCACTCGTCGTACTTGGCGTAGGGGTCGCAGTACCTTGGGGCCTCGAGGCACTGATGGGCAAAGCATTCTGCCCACGGACATAAAACGGCGTCAATTGCAGCCCTGCGCTTGTATCACCACAAAATACAGATGCGATCGTAGAATTTGGTGCAGGCTGCTCATCTTGTGCTTGACGGGACTCAACCCCAGCGAGCACAGTTCTTGGCACGCAAATTTCGACTCGGATGACGTTGCGTTACGGTTGGTGCTGCCAGAAACTTGCCGATAGTCGCGAGGACCATGCTCTTCTTTGGTGAAAGCGCCCTTCCCCTCGCATATCCATTGGTTCGCGGCACAAGAGACCGCGGTTGGCCCTGTTGCCACTGTGCCTCCCACAACACCTACAAAGCCGATTACTGCTAGACATGGCCAGTTGTATGCCAGTGCTCCCCAGCGTTCTCGTGCAAGATCAACGCGACTACGCGCTGCCAAACGCACGACGGCACGAGGCCACAGAAAGTTGGGAAGGTGGGTGGACGAAAGGGCACTGCGCTGAACTTCGTTGTCTGCTTGTGCCCAAGTCAGCCTGACATTTCAGATCTGAAAATCCTCGAAATGGCGCCTCACCTTTCACATAGGCGCACTTCTCCTTGCCGTACTGGTCCTTGTCGCAGACTGCAAACAAGAAAACAGTCCAAAGTCAGAACAGCACCCTGACTTCGCGAGCTCGGCGCAAGTCCTGCATTCCGCCGGCTGGAGCGCGCCCAGTCAAGGCACTGTTTATGGGAAAATGGAGCTAGATTTAGTACTCATTGTACTGTGCTGTACCGCTTCTTCCAGGTGAGTACTTTCAAGCGAAAGCAGCCTTGGAAAAGAGCAGATCCGGCGACCCTGTGCAAAACCTGCCATTCGGCGCTTCTCGCATAGCCGGGCGCCTGTGGAGCGTACCGCTCACATGACCGAAACGTGACCGAAGCGTGGCTCCACAGAATCGGGCCACGCCTTCGATCGGCAGAGGATAGTTCAAACGAAGTGTCGCCACCAGTGCTCGAGCCCCCTTTTGGAGGGCGCAGCGAGGGGAAGCAGCAGCGTGCATCGTCTATCACACACACCTTTCTCCATGCACGAATACCAGCACACCAGTATACGACATCCCTTTCACGCTGCGATAAAGTGTATAAACAGTGACACCTTCTCAACGCACAAACAGCAGTATACCAGTATACCGTGACATGAACCGATGTCGTAAAATGTATCGAAGGTGACGTAACAATCGGTGACTGAGAGATGCAGCCAGTGCATGCTTGTTATGCGTTTGTTACATTCATTGCATTGACTTGTTCCCCAACGATTATCTCGCGACAGCTCTGCCACACCCACCTCTCTTGTTGGTGCAGACGGGCTCGTCCAGCGCCTCGCAGTCGTAGTACTCGGGGCACTCGTCGCCGTCCTTCGTGCAGTACATGGGCGCCTTCTCCTTCTCGCCTGCGCGCGCACAGCCCACATGAGACACAAGACGCGTTTCGCCCACCGCTGAAAAGCGGCCGACGCCACCGACAAAGGAACTGAAGGAGTCTTCCAATACAAGACAGAAAAAAAGACAACAAAAAGACAAAAGCAAGGCAAAGGGGGACATAAAGAAGACAGGAAAAGGACAACAAAAAGACGAAAGGAAGACAAAGAAGACAGAAAGAAGACACCAAGCAGGCAAAAAGAAGACAAAAGGAGAATAAAACACAGAAATGTGACAAAAAGAAGACAGAAAGAAGACAACCAGAAGACACAAAGATGACAAAAAGAGTACGAAAAGAAGACAAAATAGGGTGGCCATACTCAAGGCAGGGGACTTGTCAGCATGAAGTCGCGGGCGACAGGCGTCGAGAGGCGCGGCACCCACCTGTCAACAAGGACCTGGCGCCGCGGAGGGGGCTCGCCTCGGCGACAGCCTGGACACAAAAGGGGCACGTCAGAGAGGGGGCCACCCTGAATCCACATTTGGTGCGAAAAAAGCTGCGAAAATGCAAGAATGCGGCAAGCCCCGGCGAAATGGGGAGGCGCGGCGGCAAGCGCGTGGGGGGAGGGGGGCCAAGGAGAGTGGGACGAGGGAGACGGAAAGGGCGGGTGGACAGGTGCGGCGTCCGGATAGCGTACCGCGAGGGCCAGGATGACCAGCAGGGTGGCGAGCTTCATGGTCGCTGGAGCTGGCAGCAGGGGGGCCCGAGCCTGCAGCACGGCGGCAGATGAGAGTTAGTCACACCACCCGGGCCGGAGTCTGCGATGGGAACTGTGTGGATGCCGTTTGCGGCGAGGCAGGGACGCAAGGGCGGTGAGATTGCGGCAGGTATTCTTGCGGAAGCAGACACGACCGTCAGGAACCCTATTGATGGAATTTGCATCAAGGGGCGGCGAGGTTTGCGTTCGCCGTGCGGAACCAAGGAACAGAACTGAAAGGGATCCGGGGAGGGCTGCGGCAGCCATCGGCGGCGGGGTTGTTTGCATGGCGCCCTGACGCGCGCAAGCCAAAGTCGGCCAAGCGAAACAAAGTCACGAAAGGAGTCGCGGGCGCGCTCTGCCTCCGGGGTGATGGCATCCATGGGCTGGCGGGAGGTGCGCAGCGGCCTCCGTCCAAGTGTGATGAATGAAGACGAGGGGGCGCGCCATGAAAGGACGCGGGGCGAACGGAGGCCGAACGAACGGAAAGTGCAGCGGCAACAGTTGGCAAACTCGGCCTCAGGGGCGATTGCATCCATGCGAGTCTCGGCGTGTCCTTCGAAGAGTGAGGCGCGAACGCCGGGAAGGCGGCGCCATTGGCAGCTCTGCGATGTAATGAAACTGAAAGGCGACCCGAGAATGCGGACTGGGGGTACCGGAAGGCCCTTGGGATCGACGCGATCTCGCGACCCCGCGCCCAGGCCTCCCATCCCGCCACACAACACGAACCCGACCCATCTTTCGCCCTCGACCAAATACGGGCGTCGGCCAATTGACATGCCCGACATGCGCGGTCACTCGCGGACGGCCATGACCAAGGCCACGCTACGAGGGCACTAACCGGTTGGAGGTGCTCGCCGATCGAAGGCGGAGGCGCTGCTCGGCTGCGTTCGGGTCGCAGGGGGGGAGAACTTGTTCCGGGACTCTTCGGCGGGCGAGCGGGGCATTTATTCCTCTTGGGGGCGCGCACTTGTGCACCTGCGTATGAGTTCGGCGTGGAAGTGGGAAAACTCTGGATGGAAAGCGGACGGGATTGTGCGGCGTGGCGCAAGGGGCCACAGTACTTTGGCCAGTGTTGTGTCGGCGCTCACGTGATCGCCGCCGGTGGACGGAGACCGGCCGCGCTGTTGCTCCGCACCGAGCGAATGGCTGGACGGTGACGCCGTTCTGATGTGTAACGCGTAGATGTGAACTTGGCAGGGCACTCTGGGGGGAACTGGGCAGCCTTTCGTGGTCCACGAACGGGCAGCCGTCCCTCCAGCGGCCCTTGCTGCCGTGCGGCGTCGATGACAATTGTGCAACGGCCCCAGAGGGGCGTTTGGCGCGTGATTTGCGCCGCAGATCGAGGCCGGTCTGCCGACCGTGAAAATTCGCAAGAAAACAGCGACGCAGGTTGGACTGGGTTTCTGTTTCCCCTTGCTTTGTGCTTGGATGTGCTGACCTGACTGTGGCGCAGTACCGGCACAGACCCGCAGTTGCCATTCATCCGGAGGAATGGCAGGCTGCACACTGCCTCCAGCCGCCGGTTTTGCCCCCACGATGCCAAATACGAAAAGCGTGCTTGGAACCAGCTTTCATCAAATTGGAGCCCACTTCGTCGAGCGTTCCAGACATACAACGAGAACCTGCCGATTCGTTTACCGACAAACTCACCCCCTGGGATGTGTCTTTCTGTTGGTCCGCAGGCCGGCAACCTTCCTGGCTTCAGACAGGCCTGTCTGTGTCTGAAGTTTGCTCCAAGCTCATGCAAAATCGCCAGTTTAAACTTCTACAATTTGCATGTATGAACATTCAACGACCATACCACACGCACCACCAGAAGCCAGTCATGTTGTGTCACCCGAATCAATACAAGGCTGCGTCACTCCCGCAGCTAGAACTACCCACCGGCCTCCAGTAACCGGCTCGAAATGCTGGCGCTACACTGCTAACTATTGGTCCCGCCCAGTCGCCACAAAATCCAAACTGTACAAAGCCCCCTCGCACCCTCCCAAGGTGGCAATTGCGAATGCAAACGCGGGCTTCTGGCCGGGCCTTCCCGACTCCCACCGTGAACCCCTGTCCTCATTTTGCTATTCCATTTTTCCAAGAAATCACGAAGCTCGAACACGAGAGCCAAGTTCGGTGACGTTCGTTGCCGTTCGGAATTGCTCAGGGTCTCCAAGTCGACCGCCTTGACAGGCAGTATCGAGGCAGCGATTGCCACTGCGAAAGATAAGGAGTCTGACTGTCGGCCATTGTTCTGGTCCTGGTATTTTTCGAGAGGCACGAAGCTCGTACATGAGAAGGAAATTCGTTACCTTCTTGGGAACTGCTTAGGGGCCCAAAGCCAGCAGCCTTCAATGGCAGTCTCGAGGCAGTAATTGCCACTACGAAAGGCAAAAGAGTCGTCATTCGGAGGAAAAAACGCCTCCCATGAAGTGAAAAGGAGTGCCTGCAATGCTCGCGGTCCGCGACTGGATTCCTCACGGGCAGCCTTCGACCATGGAATCGAACATGCGCTCACGCATGGCATCGTCGATGACGCCGCGGCGTTTCAAGTTGTCCACGCTGTTCAGCAGGCAGGCCTCATATCCGCCGTTGTCCTGTTCCGCTGTCCGGCAGTCGCAGGGCACCTCCGCCAGCACCACTACCTCGTTGGCGAACACCTATACGCAAAAGACATTGAATTTGAATTTGGGGTTTGAAGGCTCTTCAGGCAATCCCACAATGTCCGAATTCAGTGTGTTAGTGTGCTTAGCTCATGTAATCTACTGAATATGATGAATTCAGCTTCTAATTAGCAGACAACAGATCAGCTTGCGTTTACGGGGACAGCAAGCACAGGAGAGGCGGCGCTGCACTGGCCAGGAACGAATACTCAAAGTTTGAATTTCAAACACAAACATTCGTGCATACCACGACAGCAGCTTGGCACTGCACTCTCACCTTCAACGTGTTGTACACGTTGCCGGGCCACAAAACGGTGATCTGGCCCTCAGTGGCTTCACCGAGGCCGAAGATGTGGGCCTTATCGTGCGCCCCGTGGATGTGGCCCGTCGCGTGGGGCACCATCACAGTTTTGCCGCCCTCCGGAGTGAAGAAAAGCATCGCCCCCGTGCCGTCCCTGTTCACGCGACCGTCCTCGAGATCCCCAATGGACCCTCGCGGCTTGACCTGCACAGCCGCAAATGCAGCGGCCCTTTACAGAATTCCATTTGCCCGTTGCTATGCGCAGTGCACAATACATGCACTGTGACATTGATGCCTCGAAAGCGTGCCTGGCATCTCGGAAACAAGGCGCCCCGCTGCTCTAACCCATTTGAATGATTTGTGTGTACGTCCCTACTTGGGGCCGACATGCAGAATTGGAACTCTTTAGTTATCTCACATTGCATGTGGCAATGGCCACAGATGTGCGTGAGAGATGGAGGCAGCCATTCTCAAAGCCCGCCTGTCGTCATGCTGCTGAATGATGTTTCGCACTAGAAGCACAATGTCCTCGCAGCGGACGACAAACGTCGCCGCTCCACGCAATCCGACAGGCGCAAGTGCACAGCGCCAAGATAACAGCAATGAGATTTCAACATTCAACATGTTGAGCGATTTCAACCACGCCGCTGACCTTCACCCAGTTGTTGTCAGAGTCCGCGTCATTTATTTCGATCAGCAGTCCCCCGTCGCCGTTGGGGATTGGCTCGCCGTCGGCGTCACGCGCTCCGGCCCAGGCCAGCGTGATGTTGTCTGGATCGACGAAGGTGGGGTAGTACTGCGCCTCCTCGAAGAACGGGCTCTTCGACAGCTCCTCGTTTTGGGTGGCATTGAAGATCGACCGGTAGGTGCGCAGGGCGGTGGAACCGTCGCCGTTGTCGGGGATGGAGGAGCCTGAAAGCGGAAAGGCGCAGGCCTGTGAGCAGTTGGCTTTGTTGTGGTGTCGTTTCAGGACATTTCGTGTCATGACTTGCTTGTGCGGTGCCCTTGGAAGCCCATCACATCCGCTTCTGATACACTTCGATACGGCACTACTAAATTGTGCACTGCCACCATTTACCAGTAATAATGCCGTGACGCTCCCACCATGATGATAACGAATGTGTGACTTTGTGCGTTCTGATGCACAACAGCTCAACGGCTGGATTGTCCCAATGTACTAGGCTCGCACGGAACAAGCCATGGACAGCGCGTTGCTCGGGCGACACGCGGAGACGCTGGCGACTTCCTCGCGCCGATGCGTAACATTTCTTGACGGCAACGACGACGCTCCCACCCTCATCCCCATCATTACTAATTTTAGCATCACTGCCACAACTGCTCGCTCTGCGCCCTGCACCACCTGCGACGACCACAAAATCCATGAACCCGTCGGCGTTGAGGTCCCCCGACGACAGGCCGCTCGTGATGTAGTCGTTGTACGCCCCCGGCTCCAGCGCCTCGGACCGCCTGAAGGTGCCGTTGCATCCCAGGTTCTCAAGTACCGCGCCCGATCCCGGAAGCTGCACTGCGAACAGGGTGAGCCCGCCCGCGAACGCCAGGTCCTGGTCGCCGTCGTTCTCCATGTCGAACCCTGCGCCATGAGACGGCCAAGCAACGGCCATGACGATTTATGCTATCTATAAATAGACAAACGGAAAAATTGTGCACAAATATGTAATTAATGGATAAATTATTTCTGTATTCTCTGGAGATGAGTTACAGATAGGCTATCGCAAATTGGTTAACGCCGTCGTTGTCTATGTCGAATCCTGCGCCGTGAGACGAGAAGGCAGCGTCCATGACGGTTTATGCTATAGATAGACAAATAGACAAATTCTAAATGGACATAATAGACATAAGTCACAAATGGACAAATTGTGCACAAGTAGATTATTGACAGATAAATTATTTCTATATTCTATAAATAGGTAAGCTACAGGTACGCTATTGTGAATTGGTTAACACCGTCGTTGTCCATTTCGAATCCTGCGCCATGAGACGAACAGGATACGGCCATGACGATTTATGCTATAGATAGATAAACAGACAATTTCTAATAAAAAAACAGACAAATTCTAAATAGACATGACAGATATAAGTTGCTAATAGACAAATTGCAAGCAAACATATTTTTAATAGATAAAAGAGCTTCTATATCCAACAAATAGTTAAATTACAAATACGCTGTTGTAAATTGGGTAACGGCTTCGTTGTGCATATCGAATCCTGCGCTGTGAGACCAACAGTCAGCGACTGTGACGGCTGGCCAGCCAGCAGACTTGCTACTTATGGCATGAGCACAACGTGTATTTACGTGCTTAAAAGTGACATCGGTATTAAGTTTTTCGACGTAAATTGCATAAAAGTGCGCAAACACAGGACCTCTGTATATAGAAATTGTGCATGCAGACATGCTGACCGGCGGGCTGGCCGGCTGAATAATCGCTTCAGCCGCTTGTCGGTAGACAATCTGTCCATAAACCAGCCGACCTTTACCTTCAAACGGTGCGACACCGCAAAACAGATTCACGCGATAGTGAACGTCCCACAATAAATTCGTTGTCATACATTCAGCTTCATGTTTTGGCATTAATTGCGCGTGAATGACTGTGAAGGGCATGATGTGAAAGACAGAGAACGAGTAAGGGACATTGCCTGATGCTTCAACGTCAAAGGCCGTCCAGCGTTCGGATCAGTGCCACAAACACTGGTAGAAAACGCCGTGTTTGCGATGCCAGCTGCGTTGCCATTATGACACGAATTGATGCCATCACAGTGAGTGCAATGGCATAAAAGGGGCTGTGATGGCATCAATTTGTGTCAAAATGGCATCGCAGCTGGCATCGCAAACAGGCTGTTTTCTACTGGTGAAATCCCCTCCAGCAACACGCACCGCCACCAGACAACGAATCGCTCAATCAAATCAAAAATATGCACACAAAAGTTGCCAAACTGCATCAGAGTCACATCTAGTACATTATCGCCACGCACAATACATCAGCACCACTTTCACGTCTAGCAAATCTAGTGCATCCAGTACATCAACGACGTATATAGTATATACCGCTAATGTTATGGACGTGCTATAAGCAGTACATTGGGCCCCTTCTCACCTGCGACGCCCCACCCCATGGGCAGGTACAGCGTGTTTCCGTCGGGGTCCTGCGGCGCGGCGGCTTCCGTGAACCTCCCAGTCTCGCTGCCGTAGAACCACAGCGGGTTGGCCCCGGTGGCGATGGTGGACACGTTGCGCGTCTCTGGCGGCGCACCCAAGATGCCGCGCACGATGATGTGGAAAATGTTGCCGGCGAAGGCTCCCTGGCGTGTGGCGAAGAAGTCGAGCTGCCCATCGCAGTTGAAGTCGCCAAATGCGTGGCCCCTGCCGAGGCAGACGCAGCGGAGCGGTCCCAATCAGCCGAAAACGCGTTGTGGAGTGAAATTATTATTATTATTATTATTATTATTATTACATGGTTGTCATTATTATTGAAGTTTATTATTATTTATTATTTATTATTATTATTATTGATATTATTATTATTGAATATTATTATTATTATTATTATTATTATTATTGATTTGGTGCATGCCAATGGCGCGTTCCGCCAATTTGGGGTGAAGAAATGTGGGAAACGTGTCACTGACCTCGTGAGCGGTTTTCACCAACTGTGGTCAGATGGGTGCACACTGTGTGGCATCAGGTTGTGCAAGTGGCAGACCCCCTCCACGCAAACATGATGGGAATGCTCTCCACGATTTTAGTGTATACTGTCAAGTTGTCCAAAACTTGTGTTGAGAATGCGCAACATTATGTACAATAGCCGGCGCTCTAAGGAGAGAGTGAATGGCAACTTGGGTGGATACGCCATTGGGGTGATGTTGCTGTGCGACGTATCGGCAAAAAATGCACAGCGCCAACGACCCTTGCGTGCGGCCTGCAAGGCGACTGCTACGTGAATTGTGTATGCTCTGAAATACAGACCTCTGCAGCGGAATGGCGATTGCATGGTTGAAAACCACAGGTTCACAGCGATCTGGAATAAGTTTTAAGTGTGATAGAGCCTTGCAATTTATCGGGAAATTCCTGCGATTTCTTCTCTGCTGAACGGCATGTGTCAGTGATAGTGATTTTCTTGGAAGGGCAGCACGCCCTGATGTGACATTCGGGATCCTGAATATGGCCTATATGTTCACGTGGCGATGTCTTAGATGAGCACACCCAATTTTTGGTGATGTACAGAATATGCATATCCACAAAACGGACTGACTTTGTACCGTTGATATCCAGCTGGAGATCAGATATTCCTGCAGGAATGTTTGCGGGTGTGGGGGAACCCGAGAAGGCAAAATATGCATTTGCACAAAAACATACGTTGTCCAAGCGTATTTTACTCACACATGCCCGCCTAGATGTGCATAATCACATAGGTGTCCGTCATTGGTAACAGTGCCTGACGGCGTGTGCATAGTGAGCAACAGCCAAAACAGCGGGCCGGTCGTGGCCCGAACGAGGAGCAGGACCAGCCGCCCACCTTGACCTGAAAGGTCAACGAGGCAATCCCAACCAACGCCCCACCAAGCACCTTTCCGCCCCCCAAAGCAGTCACATCCGACTTCAACTTCAACCAACATCCAATTCCGTTTCTCAAAACATCCAACAGCCAATTCTGAATTCCAAAAACGGAAAAACAAAAACTGTCATTGGTGGCCACACCTGTTGCCTCCCGCGTCGATGTTGGTCTCATCGGGGTGCACAATGCCGAAATTTCCGGTGCCGTCGTTTCGCCATACGTGCACGAAGCCTCGTTCTCCCAGCTCCGGATTGGGCGGCCCCTCGTTGTCGAAGAGGAACAGGTCAACGTCGCCATCAAAATCAAAGTCAATGAACGCCGCCGACCAAGTGATGTTGGAGGGCGTGCCGGCGAAGCCCCGGTCCTCCGTCTCGTCAACAAAGTGCTCCTCTGCGTCGGGGCCCTGCGGTCGGGCGACACACAGGGTTCATTTGCAATTTCGAAAAAATTGTGATGCAAAGGAGTCATATGAAAATGTGAAGAAAAGGCGGAACTCGCGTTTGAACTGTATGAATTGTGTGACTTGTGAGAGGGCAAATCGATGCTGTCCTACTTGAAAACCTGCTCACCAGCACCAGGTCTGCGGTGGAGGCACAGGACGCCTCTCGATACCACACGGGACAATCGGTCTTTGAATGTTGATCAGCGTTGTGTGCAATGCACAATTCACAAAGTTCAACTTGTGCAGTGTCCATTGCACAGCATTTCCAGCACCAGAACATGTAGATTCACGCACACATTCATATGGCCTACTGAAATGCACATGATTCACTGTTATCCTGTTCCCCACTGTCGAGCTTCCGCCCAAGCACAGATATAGCCAAGAAGTATATCTAATAAATCAGAAATACCTGGGATATTTCTGATAGATCAGAAGCAGAAGACTTCTGCTTCTTCGCCCAGAGCACTGCTTGCATGCCTCAGGTGCACATGTCAACACATCGCCAGGACGCTGAAGTGCGTGTGACATTGTCGGGATGTGGATCTCATGCATTGCTCACCCATGTCTACTATATTTGCTGCCCGTTCATGGCCAGTCGAATCCGAGAGCGCAGCATTGCACAGCTGATCCATCAACCATTCTTCAGACGCGCTGAATTGACTGAAGACGCACTGAAGACGCACTGAAATCTTTATGCTGAATAGACATGCCTGATGCAGAGCCACTCGCGATGGATGATGTCGGCATCATGTCCCACATCACCAACATAATAAGTGACTTGGTGCCTTAACCTGAAGCTGAGGCGTGAACTGTTGCCGGCAAAGCTCTCTGTACACAAAATTCCAGCAGAATTCCACACATAGTTCAACACTGTCCAAAATAGCCTGGCCAGGCCGGATGGGACACACACCTTGTTCATGAAGAGCCTGCTGCGCTTGTTCAGATCGAAGGACACATCGAAGGCGGCGCGTGTGAAGTCGACTGGGAAGTTTGGTATGAAAGTGACCAACAGGTCCACGAGACCGTCGCCGTCCACATCCCCAAAGGTGCAAGATGATGGGGCCGTCCCGCTGGTGACATTTTCTTGGGGTATGGGGACTTCTGTAAATTGGCTACCGTCATTGCGCAGTAGCTGCCAAGGGGCGCCGAAGTTCAGGATGACGATGTCCTGTCGCATATTGAGCATAACCGTTTCAGCAACCCATTCAGCCACACATGCAAATCATGTGTGCGGTAGATGCTGTGTGCACACATATGGACATATATGTATATATTTCCCCCGCCCAACATTAATTGTCGTCTATGATTTTGTGGCATTACTTATCCATCGTACCTACCTGAGCTTACAATGAAATTTACACCAAAGTAGCAATTATGAGGCTGAAGTATACCATCAACATTTCAAGTCAATCCATCAAATATTGAGGATTCGGCAGTACTTTTTAGCAAGGGCCCTCTGGCCAGAAAAGGGTCACTCTTGGACGCTGCGCTGAAAACAGCCGTTTCTGGCTGTTTTAAGTAGCGCACAGCGAAACAGACCCGTCCTTGCAAAGCTATCCACAACTTTCGGAGCGGAGGTCACCAGGGTGTCTGGGAAGAAGTACGGCAATAGAAAACGTGTTCCGAATACCTTGATCATCGAACTCGCTGTGGCTTGCAGCATCAATTCAAGCTTCATCTGGTCGGTCGGAGCGATATTCCGGACCAGATTATGTTGCCAAGGTCTTTTCGAGCTTCTTACCCGGCGTCAAGGCAACTGAGGGGGTCTCTCAATCCCTTTAACAGATAGCCAGAGACGGTGATGGCCGTCACCCCAATGTAGCATAAGCAATTAGTAAACTGGGCATCGCCCCAGAAATGGCCATTTGTCATTATTTCGGAGCTTCAAAGGATGGGTTCAAGGAGGCTGGCTACAAAGGTGAATTCGGGTCCTTTGGAATGATGGGAACTAACCAGGTTCCAACGGATTGTGTGCCACGCAAAAGTATCGGCCACGGTATCCACAGTGGTTGTTTGTGAACTTATGGCTTAGGGGCCCGTGCAAGCCCCAATTCGAGCAACAACTGAGGCGAAATGTCCGAGCAAGGCTACCAAACAGCCTTGGAGTGACAGCACGCACTGAGCCCAAGCTTCAAAGTTTCAGACTTTGGACTTTTCCACTCGTTGGAGGTCCGCCCATCGGAGGTCGAGAAAAGTGGCGATGTCAGGCATCGTCAGCATTGTGACGATAGCCAAATAACACGAGGGTGAATGCACTTTCGAGTGTGTTCGGCAAGTGCTGGACGCTGCCCTTTACCCCAATGGTGGCAACCACTGGTGTTGCAAATTCCAGGAATGGGATCGGTCCCAAACCAGGGGAGTCTGCAAGACCGTTAAAATTGAACGTGCATTTCTTTGACTGTGTCAAGGCAAATTCGGGGGCCAGCTGACGGGGGTGAGGACTTGAAAATTCAAACTTAAAACTCAATCTTTCTGATGCTGGCCTCCATTTGCAATTTAAATGCCGTTTTCATGACGAGAATTTTCTCTCAAGTAGATGACAATTACTATGGGATGGAGGAAGTATCTATGTATGTACGTGCATGCATATGCACGTTTATACGGACTGTTGTCGAGTCAGATCCAACAGCACTTAATCCAAGTACAGTGCACGCAAATAAGAGATCATCTGAGTATCTGAACACGGTGTGGGGCACATATGTTGATTTAGCACCACATCAATCGCATTCCACATCACAGTAAATTGCAAGCCCGACATTTAACATTGGACACCACGTGTGAGCGCTTAAGCACTACACAAGCTATTATGGTCACCAGCGTTCATTCAAAATCAGTTTAAAGCACGCATGTCCTGCAGAGAAAGGCCCTGTCAAGGAACAGCGGTCCCGGCTTTAGTAGTTAGTAGTACTTTGCTACACATTTGGCGTAAAGACTTCCGTGCAAAATGTAAAGATAATGAGGGCAGACTTGCTTGCACGAGCCAGCTGCTGCCGAAAGAAGTCTCTTCCGCATTTCCGTGCAGCGTTTATACCGCATTGGGTGCCTTGATGCAGGTCGCTTAGAAACCGGCCGCAGGGTGCAAACCTAAATGTGCTTCTTTGAATGATTCCAATTGTGCTATACTGTACAGTCGGATACAGTCGTAAACAGTCGTGTGCAGTCGTGTACAGTCGTATTCATGTGCCAGCATTCACCACCGGGCGACAACCATCCAAGACTTTGTAGCAGTCGCAGCAACTGCCAATAGCCCCTTACCGCAAATTTGTAGTTAAAATGGTTGCTCGCAATGGCAAAATATTGGCCTTCCAATGCGTTTTGCCAATTTGCTAATCAGCGTATCTAATTCAACTGTATCAAACTGCTGAACACGTCCAATATCACAGTTGTTATTATCACTACTACAGTAGCATCATTATTGCTATTACCATAGCTATTATAATCGCGACTACAGTAGTAGTGTTATTACTGCCATTACCATAACCACACTTTTATAATTTAATTCCACATAAATACACTGCAGCGTAAACCGTGTCGACATTGAGCCAAACCGCACCAATCCAACCCAGCCTTAGAGCTATGTTCACCATCGCAATATACTAGTCCCTCTGTCATTTTCGTATGGATCCCTTCTTCTCCACTGGCAAGGCCAACGCCGGTCAGTGGGTCAGCGTTTTTGGGCTTAGGGTGTCCAAAAGCAAAACGGGATCTACACGAAAAGACAGAGGAACTAATCTCATGACTTTCACCATCGGGGCGCACCCACCTGGTCTCCGTCGTTGTCGACGTCCCCAGCACACACCCCATTGCCGTCCAGGTCGGGGAAGCCCACCCGCCACTTGGACGCGCAGGAGCCCCTCCCGCAAGTCGTCGTGAAATTCAACTCCCCGGTCTCTGACAGCTGATTCATGAACAGCGCATGTTCCTGCCCCGGGCCCGAAGGCACAAAAATGTCCAGGTCGCCGTCGTTGTCCACGTCCAGGACGAGGGCCCCAGGGAAGCCGTAGCCGCGATTGGGCAGGGCACGGATGTTGAAATTGTCCGGGTCCTCCGTCACGTTTTGGATCGCCGCATCGTGCAGCCTGGACCACTGGGAGGGCTGCCGGCTGTAGTCCGACACGGTGGGGTCGTCCAGGCGCTCGAATTTTATGGAGTCGACGGCGACGGGGTGCAGGAGCTGCGGTGGTTGGGGGGACAATCGTCATTGTCACGATGGGCGAATGGAGCGGTCCAAATGCTGATAGTTGATCCATTCCAAGGACTTGCTCGAAGATTGAAAGCATGAGGGAGGTTTCGCGACAAGTCATGAGCTACCTGCCGCTGATCAGTGGCGCTTTTTTGTGCATCTTCCCGCCTTATTTTGAATTTAATGCAATTGCATAATCTCTTAGTGTCAACAATGGCTGCGCCGCCCCTTTTTGCGTCCAGTTTAACGCTCGCGAATGCGAACGCAAACCTAAACACCACGCATGCTCGTGCTTGCGCCGGGCGACCTACCGCCGCACCGCCAGCCGCCTTACCGTCAACCGTGACCAGACCAAGGCAGCCGTCGGCAATAGTGAGAGTACCGAGAGTACTGAGAGTACTAAGAGCACACTCCCCACGCCCGTGTGTGGCGCAGAGTCGAGCAATACACTTATCCACAACCGCCTTCCCGTGCGCATCAGCTAACAGGCTCGCAATTCGGAGCAACCCTTTCGCGCAGGCCACCGGCCTTGACCCCTCCTCGCCCAGTGACGGGGTGACTCAGGCGCCCGCCGTCCCACGCGCGACGCAGATGCAAGCCACCGACGTCCATTTCCTTCCCCGCCAGTGTCCCCAGCCTGACGACGTCCCCCTCCCGCTCCCCTTCAAAAGCGCCCGGGCATTGCCACAGGTGCCTTGGCTCCATGCCCGTTTTCAACTCAGACACGACCAGGTGCGAGGGAAGGGGGGAAGAGGTGCGAAAGGGAAGGCGGGCCAGAAGGGGCCCAGCCAAGGCAACGCAGCCACCGGCCAGTGCGCGGCGCCAATTGCAGGAAGGAAGAACAGCAGGCGGCTATCCAAGACCTCCGTCCCTCAGCCTCGCTCCCCCAAGCCCCGCCGCGTCGGCCATCCCCTGCACAGGCCGCATGCCATGCCAGCCAACGCCGCTGGCGGGGTCGTCGCCGTCGCCGGCCCCACCCCGCCGCCCATGCGCTCCTCTCTTCGCACCATAGACCCACGCTGGAGACGCCATCATCTCACAGCAAGGAAAACCACTCTCGTGCACGCTGTTCGGGAGGCGGTGCACTTGCGCGACCTGCTCCTCGCTCTCATTGCAACAAATCCCACCCACGGCCCCCAGGCCCCAGCAGGCACGCGTGATCCGCGCCAATCTCCGCGGGCGCTCACCAGCAGTGCCGCGCAGATTGCCCAAGCCCTCGCTGCGCCGCCATCCAGGCGAAGCTGCCGCCCGAGATGGCCAGCCATGGCCGCAGGCGCGCTGAATTCCCGCCGCCCGCCCCTCGTGACCTTCTTCCCCTCCTTGGGGCCACCCGCCCAAGGCCTTCTCGCTTCGCAATCTGGCTTCGTAAGGGATTCAGAGTGGGCACGGCCAGGAGCGCCTGGGCAGGGCGGCCCAGGGAGCGGGTGGGCTGGTGCGTGTGTGTTTTGTGCTGTGCCCGGCGTCCCAGGCCGCCCCCGCAAGAACACCCCGCCTGCAAGACCGTCGATTGTACCGGATGATGGCCCTGCCGCCGATCCCGTGCATCGTGAGTCACAGTTGGAACCGCTGCGGGGCCTGTCGGCCTTTGGGCGGCTCAATTGCACAATGAGCCTTTGGGCTGCGGCGACCCCGTGGGTACGGGAGGCATTCACGACGGCCACGCGCGGGGAAGACAAGTCTGTCACTCACGATCCGAACCCATCATTACAAATGAAGCGAGTGGTATTTATAGTGCGATGGTGCGACAGTTCATGAGTTGTTGTCTCCAGAATAACCACTCTGGCCACTTTCGCGAGCTGGCCGGGTTCGTGTCCATTTCTCATGCCAAGTTTCTATTCCCGCCGCCCAGACCAACTATGATCCATTGCCAACTAGCCCAGCAGCTACCCGCGTACACTAACCACTCCCACTCTCCCTCACTCCCACACTTCCTCAGCTCCTATTCCCGCCGCCATCCCCAACTATGATCCAATCCCAAAGCCGTCCCCGTTCATTCACTACAGCCAATTCCCCTTAACTGGCTCCCCTATCATACGTACAACCCCACTCCCCACAGGCCCCGTGGCTGAAACAATATTACTGCCTGCACCCAATCACATGAACACTATGACCTGACCTCAGTTTTAGGGTTAGGTTTAGTATTAGGGTGAGTTTTGGGTTTAGGGTTAGGTTATGGGCAGGTTTAGTTTTAGGGTTTGGGGTTAGGTTTTAGGTTAGGTAAGTTTTGGAGGGAGTTGGTGCAAGCAGTCACCGATTTAGTGCAGAAAGTCACCGATTTGGTGCAGCCAGTAACTGTATGCCCCCCGTGGCTTGGGGGTGGTTCCGAACTGGGAGGACATCTCGGAGTCTGAGTGTCGGCCATTGTGCTGGTCCTGGTACTTTTCAAAAGGCACGAAGCTCGTACATGAGAGAGAGCGAAGTTCGGTTACGTTCAGCGTCCTTGGAAATTACTAAGGGTCCCAAACCCAACCGCTTTCAATGGCAGTCTCGAGGCAGCGATTGCCACGACGAAAGGCAAAAAGTTCGTCGCTCGGAGATGAAAACGCCGCCCATGAAGTGAAAAGGAGTACCCCACCTCGTTGGCAAGCACCTATACGCAAAGCAAATTGAATTTGAATTTTGGGCTTGAAGGCTCTTCAGACAACCCTACATTTTCTGCACGCAGTACATTTAGTGTTATAAATTTAGCTAATTTAATGAATATGATGTAATCAACTTCTAACGCCATTTCGGGAAATGCTGGTATCACAATGTGCTACTGTGTATGGAGTCTTTGGGCAAAATGTACCGAAAGATTGTTTTCTAATAATCAGACAATCGAGCAGCTTCCGTTTTCGGGAACAGCAAGCACAGGAGAGGCGGCGCTGCGCTGGCCAAGTACAAATATTCAAAGCTGGATTTCAACACAAATACTCATACATACCACGACAACAGCTTTGCGCTGCATTCTCGCTTTCAACGTGTTGTACACGTTTCCAGGCCACGACGCAGTGACCTGGCCCTCAGTCGCTTCACCGAGACCAAATATGTGGGTCTTGTCATGCGCCCCGTGCACGTGGTCCATCGCGTGTGGCGCCACGACAGTCTTGCCGCCCTTCAGAGTGAAGAGCAGCATCGTCCCTGCGCCGTTCCTGTTCACGCGACCGCCCTCCAGATCTCCAACGGAACCTCGCGGTCCACCGGGAAGTTGGCATGGAGGCGAAGAACAGGTGCACGAGACCATTCCCGTCCACATCCCCAAAGTTACAAGATGATGGGGCCGTCCCACTGGTGACATTCCCTTGGGTTATGGGAACTTCGGTAAATTGGCTGCCGTCGTGCCACAGCAGCTGCCAGGGTGCGCCGAAAGACCAGGATGACAATGTCCTGTCGCGTATTTAGTAGCTCCATCCATTCAGCCACCTACGCCCAGCATGTGTCCACTGCGAACTGTGGGTGTACGCATTTGTGTATATGCACTTCAAAGTATACATGAATGCATATTATATGTGCAAATGTATGCGTAATACAGATATGTGTATTTAGCATATGTATTCGATGAACTACCTCTGTTCCAAAAGTCCTGTTCGTTATCCAAATCACGCAAGCGGAGGTCAAAACGTGCGAGTCATAACATTCGACCAAAACAACTTCAATGCGCCATGTATATAGCTATCTATATATTTCTTAAGCGTGGAAAACGGTGGTGCCTTTCTTGAGATATGCTGAGAAGAGCACAGGTGACAATTTTTCTTCGTCCTGGCCTAGAATGGGGCATGAGGAGCTAGTGTTGCCCTTTGAAGGAGGTGGATCGAGCTGAGTCGTCTCTAGGAAATATGAACCCATTCCAGGCCATGGCCTGGTGGTTTGGTATACGATGGAGATTTGGCTAAATTCAAAACAGAATCCACAGAGCAAAAGATGAGGACTTTTGCCCCATATTTTTGCATGTCAACAGGAATCGTGCATGTGTTGTGGCTGAAGGGTAAAAGACACATAGATTAGTACAATAGCATTGACCTAACCGGTGCGACAAGATCAGGAAGGCTGGGCATACTGACGCTAAACAGAGAACGGCCTAGGTTGGAGACAACATTACGAATATTTCAAATTGGCAATTTCAAGGCTTGCAACAACATAGCGGAAGAGACGGTCCACAGAGAATGTATCTGGGATGATGTCAAATTCTGGAAAAATCTGTAGCATTGCCTATTTGTTGCCTATTTATCGCTTACAACAAATTTCAAGAATATTTTCGGGGGAATAGGCTGACACACATGGGGATAAGGTGAGCACAGAACTGCGGGAATAGAGGCCCTGATGAGGATGTATAGGGACGCTTTCGATAACGCTGTGCGGGGCTTGGTGCATGATGATGGCTAATGCAACCAAGATCATTATTACCCCAAAATCGACCAAGGAATCCGAACCTGGTGATAGATTTACTAATTGAGCTCATATTGCAAAGTTATGGCAACATTGGATAACGGACAAGACTTATGGACCGGAGGTGGTATAAATATGTATGTGCATGCGTGCGTATGCACGCTCTACAAATTACTGTGGACTCGCACTCAACAACACTCAATCCAAGCAAAGTTCACGCCAAAAGCGACCATCTGAGGGTTTGAACATTTGAACATGACATGAGGCACACAGTTGGACTTGTGCGCCATATCAGTCGCACCCCACATCACAGCAAATAAGCAAGCGCCACAAATAAGCACCAAAACCCTAAATTTGAGCTCTTGCGCGCCACAGTTCTAGTAGTTAGTGGTATTTTGCTAATTACTTTGTTATAAAGCAGGGGAACATTATAGTTATTGTATTACGTCATTATCATTATTGCCCTACTGTATTGCATTTCACTATTGCCACAACATGGTGGTGAAAACCGTAGCAAATTGAGCCAAACTGCGCCATTTTACCCCGCCTCTGTTGCCATTTGCCCCAGCGGACCGCGGCCCACCTGGTCCCCGTCGTTTTCCACATCCCCGGCGCACACCCCATTGCCATCCATGGCTGTAAAGGCCACCCGCCATTTGGACGCGCAGGAGCGCCTCCGACAGTACGTTGTGAAGTTCAGCTCCCCGATCTCGGACATCTGGTTCATGAACAGTGCATGTTCCTGCCCGGGCCCGAAGGCACAAAGACGTCCATGTCGCCGTCATTGTCCACGTCCAGGACAAGGGCTCCACGATACCCGTAACCGTGGATGGGCATACCCCGGATGTTGAAATTGTTCGAGTCCTCCGTCGCGTTTTGGTTGGCGGCCTCGTGCAGCCGGGACCACTGGGAGTGCTGCCGGCGGTAGTCTGACAAGGTGGGGTCGGCCAGGCCCTCGAATTTTATCGGCTCGACGGCGGCGGCATGCATCAGCTGCGGTGTTCATTGGCTCAGACGTCATTATCATGAATTTTGCACGACAAGCCGAGTAGCTGCTCTTTTCTGGAATCCACCATGTTGGATTCTGAAAAACCCAAAGATCAAAATCCAAAGTCTTTGGAATCTTTGGATTCTAAAGCCAATCTGTGATGCAATTTACATCACAATTTAGTGTCCAGGTAGCTCCCCTTTCCTATCGCAAGATATGTGGGGGCCTTGCGAGGAGCTTGCTGTTGGCTTTCTATTTTGGCTGGACAACCCAGTGTACATGATTTTTCATTAAAATCTAATTTGCAACGCAAACGAAAGTGGAACGTTGAACAAAAGCGATTATCTCGCAGTAAGAACGTTGTCAGAATGTTGTTTAACAGATCACATCCAGACAGCCGGGCCAGCACCCTAGTAGGGCTGGGTCCCATTTACCTGTTTGTTGCACCAGGAATTACAACAGCAACATCAGGAAAACTAATAGACAATTATTTTTTGATTCATTATTTTTGCTTTCAATAGATCGTCATTACTGAAATGAAAGGAAACGCGTTCTTTAGGCCCGTTCGCAACCATCTTCATACTGGGCTTATGCAAACGCTCACCCAAACACTGCGCAGTGCCACCCAGCCAAGACCCTTTAGCTCCGGAGACGATCGGGAGTTGCCACGGCTGGGAGCGCCTGGGGATGGCGGCCAAGGGAAGCGTGGGGCTGGTGCGGGTGCGTCTTGTGTTGTGGTTGGCTGGCCCAATCGCGCATCTGTGTGCAAATGGAGGCCATCTTCAAAAGGCTGACTGAGGGCGTTGAACGTCGAGCACATCGCACTCGGAATGAACATGTGCATGTTGATGCCCTCAGCACTATCAGGACATGTCCTGATAGTGTTGAGGGCATGGCGGGCAAACCGTGTAACGACGAATTGTGTGACGATGGCTGCAGCTTCTCCTGATCAAACATGGCAATTTGATGCATCATGTCCGCCTCCATGTTCGGCCATGGAACGCCATTCTGGCCTGGTAAAGAACGCGACCATTCTTCAAGGCTTCCCCAACCAAATCGTGCAGGTTTCAGATAATGCCTCCTTGCCTTGTTACATAAGTGTTCGTGATGATGATGACGATCGTGACGACGACAAGGAAGTTTACGAGTGGTTATGCGATACATGGCGTTTTGTGGTTCGAACTAGAAGTGGTGAATGCGGTGTTAAATTATGGTGAAATGCACATGGGGACATCGGGGCGAGAAATGGGTATGTTCACAGTGAGTGGCATTTGACTGAGCGATTCATCCTGCAGTGCATCTGGTTATGGCTTGGCTTCCCTTGCCTGGGAGCGATCGCATGCTTGAGAGCCTTGTCTTTGTCTCAGCGATGACGCGAGTTCCAAATGGTGCCAGTTGTCTTGGGCCTACCTTGGACTGGGGCGCCATTCTCTGGGCAGGGGCGTCGAAGCGATGTTACATATCATGTTTTACATCATGCTGCCAGATGCATTGCACCATGCAATTTCTTATGGTGCTTCTGACAAACACGAAAATTCTCATGGCTTGTGCGCACAAGCCATGAGAATTTTCATGTTGGTCCAGGGCGTGCCCTGGTTCAAAATTCAAGAAAGATGACATGGCCTTGATACAAACGTCGTCCCACAGAAAAAGCAAGCTTTTAATTTGGGACAGAGGAAGTATCTCGAATTTGTGGACGTGTTTTGTGTACACTTGTGCATGTGTGTTCTTGTGTACTTCCTCCAGTCCCTGTCTCGGTCTTGGTCCCTATCCAGTGTCCACGTGTCAGGAAAAGTGGAGCAGCTGCCTCCATCCCAAATAAACCGAGCTGTATCGTAGACGACAATTTCGGGTGTCGTGGCGGAAACGTTTTCATGAAATTGAAAATGGGTGGCTTGTGATGGAGAAGGAATATTGCAGCAACGTCATAACGAACTTGCGCATTGCTTCTCCAGCCAAAAACTCCCTTTTGCAAATTTCATCCGAACTTGTGCCCATGAGTTTGGAATATGCGATGAAATCAACAAGTCAATCACTAAATGTTGTTGATTGACAGCAACTGACAGCACTACTGTGTCCTCGATATGGGCTTCTTAGGCCAAACAACTGGATTGCTTATTGTCGCTGGAACAACGGCCTGTTCTGCAATGGCGAGGAGCATACTTTCGCATGCATCGTGGTCATATTGGAAACTTACCAGGAAGGGACACGGGCAGAGCATTTTCGTAAGACCAATCTTACCTTACCGGTGTGGGGGGTGGGTGGGGGAATGGGGGTGGGGGGGAGGGATGTCCTGTTCTCCGTTTCTGTCCTTATTGTGTTTTGTTGCACAGTTTGCAGCGCCAACGTCAATCTTTGCAAAACACCACTCCTCTCGCAAAGGGCGATGTGTCAGTGGCGCATTTTGGCCAGTGAATCTGCCGTTCACGTCCTTTCCTTATCGAACACTTGACACCGCGTTCAGGAGTCTGGACGCCATTCCCATCCCAACAAACGGGCCGCGGGACTTGTGCTCTCCGCGTCGTTACAAGTGAATCGCGAGTCCGCCAAGCTGACGCCAGAGAAAGGCCAGCAAACACACCCTTTCTGGCCCTCCTGGCCGACCAAACTGTCATTCACAGCATGAGCGCTCCCATTCGATGTCAGGTATCCGCGCTATTGGCATCAGGAGCTCTTGAATAAGCTGATTTCAACGAATGTGCGTCAGACACAATTGTGCGATGAATTTCCAGCCCCAGCGCCACGGCACGACCTCCCACAGTCGAAGGGCCTATCCAGAATTCCGGCATTTGAAATGAACACTCTGACAGCTCCACAGTCTATCTCCATTCTGACGCAGTTCAACCCAAGGTTACACTACATTGTGAAAGCAGACGCGCGCGCCTGTTAATCGACTGAGGGGGGTATTACGCCCCCTGCACCACGTTTCAATTCCGCCACTTGCATTTGCCTTTGTTCTTTTCTCATCCTGCGAAGAAAATTAGCCACATTACCTGCAGGCCGCCCGGCGCAAGGCTTCTCGGGCGATATCGCAATCGATCGGATCCACCACGCTTCAAGTCCAGAACACAACACTAGCGCTCAATTTGAAACACAGTCTTCAACGGAATTTCGGAACACGATCCGGAACATCATCCTACTAGGGCGAAGTCGAACAACGATTCCATTGTGGCGAAGTCGAGCTGCCGAGGAGCCCAATGCGTTGCAGGCTACGTGCATCCCAATGCATATGCAGAACAAGGCGCGCCATCGCCCTCATGGGCATCCCTCGATCATGGAATCGAACATGCGCTCGCGCATGACGTCATCGATGACGCCGCGGCGCTTCAAATTGTCCACGCCGGTCAGCAGGCAGGTCTCGTAGTCGCCGTCGCCTTCCTCTGCGGTTCTGCAGTCGCAAGGAATCTCCGCCAGCACGACCACCTCGTTCGCAACCACCTGGGGGCCAACGACGTTCACGCAGTAGCTTCAGGCAATGCAACGGCGCCAGAATTCCTTGCACACAACTGTGTATCGCGAGCATTGTGATGCAATAAGAATTCGCCACAAACACTGCTTCTGTATTATGCATTTTCTATGCACCTAAAATTCGTTCGTGAATTCGCACGCTTGGCCAACTGATGAATCTGCGCAAGCACCCACTGATGGCTCCCATCTGGACGATTCAAATGCATGTGGACAGTAGACTTCGCCACGCGCAAGGGCACCAACATACCAGGCCTGCATCGACTCTCGATTATTTTATCTGTGTTACGAACATTTATATTTATTACATATATTATACTATTGATCTCGGGTTATTCCAATGAAAGATTGATGCACCACCACCTCGACGTTTCCACCCGACTCTCCGCAACAAGCAGAGCATGCCAAGCACGCCCACACCGTCCAGCTCATGCGCCGCTTGCTCGGGCGATGCGCGCAGCACATGCATGACTAACCATGTCGCAATAATGCCACGTCTGCCTGAAGCATCAACACAAGGGCAGGCAGACTCTCGCCACCGCATTGTCACCTTCAGCGTGTTGTACACGTTGCCCGGCCACAGCACCGTGAGCTGGCCTTCAGTGGCTTCACCGAGGCCGAAGATGTGGGCCTTATCGTGCGCCCCGTGGATGTGGCCCGTCGCGTGGGGCACCATCACTGTGTTGCCGCCCTCCGGAGTGAAGAAAAGCATCGCCCCCGTGCCGTCCCTGTTCACCCGGCCGTCCTCCAAATCCCCAACAGAGCCTCGCGGCTTGACCTGCACAGGCGCAAAGGAAACGTTCCGTTCCGGAATTCCATTCACACGTTGTCGTGTGTATGCATTGTACCATTTGTGTAAGGAATATTGACATGAAGACACCGTATCGTATAATTTAAATGGGTCTGCAAATGGATTCTTCAGCACTCTCTTGCCTCACCAAATACGGTATTTGTGGTAACCACGAAAGCCATCCTGACAACAACTTTGGTCCACAGCTTCAGGGGTTTCTCCGTGACATTGGTACCTTCAAATTCACGTATGTTCAAAGCATTCCAATTTTTGTTCACAGTATTCCAATGATCTATACAACACAATAGTACCGTTGTCACGCCCAAACAGCAACTGAATATGTAAGCCACCGACTCCGACAACGTCGCCTGCCCCAATGGCTGCTTCAACGTCATCAACTCATGTTGGCAAGACACGCCAGATCTCACAACGGCGACAAAGCACAGAGCATGGACAACACAAGGGAACCAACAAAGCAACACAACTAAGTACTTTGAGTACAAAGTATTGCACGCTTTCGTGGGTGTTACCATTTTCTATTCCAAAACGTAACATCACATGTCGGCGTCCAGGTGCCTCATAGCGAGGCAGTACTGCCAGTACTGGCAGACACCGGCACGTTTGCAGTGCCAACTGCGATGCCTTTTGACACAAGATGGCGCTATCACACTGATTGCGATGGCATAAAAATGGTATGGTTGTGATGGCATCAAGCATGCCGTTTTCCGCTGGTGCTTCCCCCGTCCGATCAAAAGATATGTTGGGCTTGTGCCAGGGCAAGAGGTGCACGGCGACATGAAGCCACCAAATTCTTCGAACCCCAAAGGCTGCTCAGTCTCAAGAAAGACAGAAGAGAAGCTCGACATTCCGAGGGAGTCCTGGCAGATCAGTAATCAATCAGAGTGAATGGCATTTGCCTCTATGTTTGTTCCATAGAAGCGAGGCCAAGAAAGGGTCTCACCTTGACCCAATTGTTGCTCGAGTCCGCGTCATTCACTTCAATGAACACCCGCCCGCCGCCGTTTGGTATTGGGTCCCCCTCAGCGTCCACCGCGCCACTCCACTCCACCTCCACAGTTTCAAGGTTGTAAAACGTGGGATAGGCTTTGGCGTCCTCGAAGAAAGGGCTCTTGGACAGTTCCTCAACGTTGGTGTCATTTAGGAATGAGCTAAAGGACATCAAGGGGGAAGTGCCGTCCGCGTTTTCAGGAACGGAGGTATCTGGGAACGTGAGCCACCGTTCAAAACTTGAAGAGAGATCGCCAGTATTCTCCACACGCAGAATCGCCCACGTCGTGCGCCATGATATACAATGCGCACACGCTGCGCAATTGGCCACAATAATTCATCCATGCGCATATGAGCCACGTTTTCCTCACAGTGAATAGGCGACCTGTCTACGAAAGGGAATGTACTGCATGCGTGACTGACGGTGCGCTGGAAATTTGCACACCCTGTCTTCCAGCCTGCTGTGTATACCCGAATCCACCACCCTCATCCAATTGTAGTTCAGGCACAGCAGCGGCACTTTCCAAAGTATTCTACGTACAAAAGCCGCAAATGGCGGCGTGCACTCAACAGAACATTCAAGCGTTCCTCCCTGTAAAACTTTTAGAGTGCGCACCACGCACTTCAGACAGAGCATGTCAGCGCACGCGCAAGCCATCCAGGAAAGCAACAGCATGGTCACCTGCGACCACCACGAAGTCCATGAATCCGTCATTGTTCAAGTCGCCGGCAGACAGCCCGCTGGTCATGACGCTGCTGTAGGCACCTTCCGGCAGCGCCTCTGATCGTCTGAAAGTCCCGCTGCAGTCCACGTTCTCCAGCACAGCCCCAGCGCCGCCCAGCTACAAAACCAAGGCGAGTAAAACATCGTCAACGTTGCTAGACACACAGCACCTGTTGGGGTGGCGCTGTCTCGGTAATGTGCAATGAACGTGGAATTTTCGTGTTGCACACAATGACCGTGCATGTCACACGTAATCTTCTGTCACACGCTGTGTCACCATTGAAGTTTCCGGCGCACATAATGATTATGTAATCATATTAATTGCACCAGCTGTAAGGACTGTGAAGTTTCAATTGCGATAGCTATGCTGACTGTGCGAACTGCACAGCGAAACTCTGTAGAAATTGTGTGAATTTATGTAACATATTATTTCCACGTGTTTGAATGTTTTACAATTCAAATCATGGTCCATTTTAGCACAAGTTGAGTGCCGCTGCACAATTGCCATCAATGCGGCAGTGTCTCGACAAGGAGACAAATCACGTGCGATATTACTGTCTTTTTCTGTTTCTGGTGAACCAATGGAGAGTCCAGCCATGTGGCGCCATTCAACAAGCAAACGTCTGGGCCTCTTGAGCGGTGAAACATGCCAACACTTGCTTCCCCCTCAGCACAGCGTCTGAACTTGCATCTCAAAGGCACCTCGGGCAAATTCATCCCCTCGTGGTACGCTCTGGCTTTTCGATTCACTCAATCACTGGCTTGGGGGTCATCAATCCAGCAGTCGATTCCAAAAGCCACGCACAGCCAGCCAGACCGTGGCGCTCAAGAAAACGTCACATGCCCCTTGACAGGAACATTGTCCGCACGTCAGAAGCCCAGACAGTGGCGCATCCACAAAAACGTCCGCACCTGAACAGGGAACGAGACTGCGCCGCCGGCGAACACAAGGTCCTGGTCGCCGTCGTTTTCCATGTCGAATCCTGCGGCGCCGCGTTCAAACCCACCCTTCAACACGCCAACGAGCGCAAAATGGGCCTCAAGTTCCCCAAATGCCGGAGTATTTGGCGGCAGAGGCGATCCTGGCCCGAGACCCAGGCTCATCGTTTCAGCCTTCCGGCCAACAGGGCGGCCTTGCCCAAGGGGCTCAGCAGCGATTCGGACGCAAGACAGAAACGTATTTTCATTCCAAAACATGAAATGTGATGCAATGTTTCGAAACAAACCAAAAAACGAAAAAGAAAAAGAAAAACAGGAATGTTCACACGCACAGCACCAGCAAACAATGACCCATTCAGACAATGAAATCCTAACTTGCACAGTGTGCATATTCCCAAGCGTCCGTGCAAACTACCCCGCGATTTCGTGGCTCGTTTAAGCAGACCAGACCGGGTGCCTGCTCCACCGCATTTTGGTACCAGTTTTCACCACTTCAGAGTGTTCATTCCCTGGAAGGCGCGCAGGCTACCCCGCGAATTTGTGGCTCGCCTAAACGCACCTAATTGAGTGTCTGCTGACCGCATTTTGGTGTCAATTCAACCAGTTCACGGCGTCCATTCTCCCCAATCCACGCAAACCACCCCACAAGTTAGTAGGTTGTTTAAACGGGCCAAACAGGGTGTCTCCCCGACCGAATTTTGGTGTCAGTTTTCGTCATTTCGACGGACCTGCGATGCCCCATCCCATCGGCAAGTAGAGGATGTTCCCGTCGGGGTCCTCGGGAGCGGGCACCTCCCGGAACTTGCCGTCACCTTCCCCAAAGAACCACAAGGCGGTCGCGTTCCTGGCCACCGTGGCCACGCCGCCCTTCAGGGGTGGGCGACCAAAAACGCCGGCCCGGAGCAGGTCAAAGATGACGCCCTCGAAGGAGCCCTGCCGCGTGGAGAAGAAGTCCAGGTGCCCGTCGCAGTTGAAGTCGCCGAAGGCGTGGCCCCTTTTGGATGAAACCGAAGTTGATCAGATTGTTTCTGAGTACTCCCTTACGTCTGAGCATTTCAATTTTTGAGTGTTTTCCGCAAGCAGTTTAATTTCCCGGCAGAAAATGTGGGTCCATCCGACCTTTGTTAAGGCTGAGTGGTGCCCAGTTGTCTCACAAAAGCGTGTTTTGAATTTGGTGTGTGGCGCACATGGCATGGGACACAGCACAAGAGCGGCAATGCTTGCAGCGCTGCAAGAGTTCTGAAATAATTTTCGGGAATAGTGTTGTGAGTTTCGATACTCTACGGTTTTACCTCGAAATCTTTTGTGTAAGTGAAAGCCGGAAGCACTGGTCAAGCTGCTTTGCACTGCTCCCCTTTCTGCTTTCTGATTGAATGCTAAAATTGCCAGGGTTCGGTTTTGACATGCCAATCTAATATCCGAAAAAGGCGCATCACCAAAAGACTGGGCCTGACATGATGTGCATATCCAGCAGAACATTTATTTTTACTCCCAATAACAATTTATATTGATGTATTGTGTTTCGAATTTGTCAAATTAAACGGACACCATTGGCAGCAGTGAGACTGTACGCACGCACGAAGTGCAGCCCTTCATGAAGAAGACTTCCATCACACGACCTCCGACATTTGGCTCGCAAACTTGACCCAACCACCAGCGGCCAACACTCTCTCCCTTGCGAAAACAAAAGCAACAACCGAACATCCGCTTGCCAAAATTGCCATTTGATTTCCAGGGCGACCAAAATGTAATCCCAGCAGTGGGGAAGCCCGCGTTTTACCTCACTGAAGACAAACATCAATCGGTCCCCTACATCTTTCTGTAATTTTGGCGGCAGGGAGCCCCTGCCGCCAAACTGTTTTTCCTGTCCAAAGTACGCCAAACTATTTTGGCGTCCTTTGGAGAGGAGTGCCTGCTCACATACTTGTGGAAAGAGGCACATTCCATGCATATTCGGCGTGCATCCCCTGTACGTTGCATGTAAATTCCGTCGCGAAAGCAGATAACGCTCTCTTCCTAGAGTTGCAGCCGGGCGCCAGACCTGTTGCTCCCCGCGTTGAGGTTCGTCTGGTCGGGGTGTACGATCTCGAACTGGCCCTTGCCGTCGTTGATCCAGACGTGGACGAAGCCACGCTCCCCCAGCTCCGGGCTGGAAAGGCCGCCGTTGTCGAAGAGGAACAGGTCGACGTCGCCGTCGAAGTCGAAGTCGACGAACGCCGCCGACCAGGTGATGTTGGGGTCAATGCCGCCGAAGCCGCGGGTCTCCGTTTCGTCCGCGAAGTGCTCGTCCGCGTCAGGGCCCTGCAGGGGGGAGGCACACAGGGCTGCTTGCAATTGTGAACTTAATAGTAAGGAAAGTGAATAGCGCCACATAGTATTTTGACAAGTATATTTCATATGTCGCTTACTTACTTCTTTATTTCTTTATTTCTTTATTTCTTTATTTCTTTATTTCTTTATTTATTTATTTATTTATTTATTTATTTATTTATTTATTTATTTATTTATTTATTTATTTATTTTTCCATACATGTAGATACCTATTTGTAGATTTTTTGTGTATTTCAAATAACATTGTATTTCGAATCACAGAGGTGAACGGCAGCCAAAATGTGTGCCTATAAACTGCATTTGACAATGCGTGCAAGGTCAGTCGTGCGGCTTATTCGGCAGCGTTGACCACTACGGTATATGCCGGTGCAAGCTATGTACTAAGAGTCACTGCAAACTCGTACAACGCAACGAGACTTGCACCAGGTTTTGATGAAGAGGTGCTGATCCTGTGATCGCACATCGCACTGCAACAAAAGCGCTGTGGGGACTGCACGGACATTAAGGCGATTTCAACAGCCAGCATGCGATTGCCTGCGACACATGATGATGGCCAACACAACCGCAGCGCAACTATTATGGCCAGCAGCTATTTGGAAAGAAAACAACATAACTCACACAATAAAGTACCGAGACATTTACCCACATTTTACCACCTTTTTTTCTTTTCTACCACATTTTCCAACATGAGGGTTGGCTTGCCCTCTGCGCAGCTCTGGACAGTGCTGCGGAGGCCTTCAACAAAGCATTGGGCGCATGTGCAACCACATGAATGGTGAATGAATAAATGAGTGAAAACACTTCCAGGCAACGTGAAAAATCGACACACTAGCCATCTCAGCTGTCTTTGCTGAGCTCAGATAATCAGACAACATCCTTCTGCTAGCTGTCTACAATGACCTCACACTACCACATGAACGGTTGACCAGGTTCGGGACATCAACCATGCAGCAACGCCTGACCACGTGGGTGGTGAGCAAATGAAATGGAAGGATGTGGAGCTTTAGCACGTTCGTTGCAAGGGTACCGCTTTGTCTCGTCGACGGTAATTCTAGAGGGTAGCAATTTGGACGGTTGAAGCGCCAATGGGCTGCGCATCTCCCTGTTTTGGAGTTCCTCGCACAGAACTCGACTTCGACAACAGGTCTGCCATACATTTTTAAGCATGCCATAGAGCAGCCAAGAGGCATTGGTGTCTCATTGGCAATTTGTCGTTTGGCCTAAACTGGCAGGTTTATCAGGATGTTATAAATATATGATTCCTCCGTCCAAGATTAATTGTTCTCTATTTGCAGGATAAATTTCATTATCTAAACGACTTCCAAGTAATCAGTAAAGGTCAAAATCAAGAGATTGAGTTCCAAAACCCTCGACTACCAATTTTTTGCTGAAAGTACTCATCCCCACTACATCTGATGCCCCATTGAAATTGCCTAAGATTTGGCCAAAAATATTGTATTCTGATTCAGGTCAGTTGGAGATCCACAGGATTTTGGGTCACTCCCATCCCAAGCATGCTAAACCAAAATGGTTGTGGCCATCGTGGCGAAGGGCAGTATCCCTTACATGGTATTGCGCTTGCCAACCACATTCAACCATGTTTGAATCCCCATCGAACAGGCCCATTGTCAGGGCATAGCTGATGGCAGAAATCGCCGCCCTCCCTAATCTATGATGCGAGGACTTGCCACAAGCGGAAAGGCAACGCCCAAGATGCTAAAGCTTGGGCTCTATGCATCCTATCATTCTAAGGCTTTGCTATATTTTTTCTTTGTCATTGCACCTTGATTGATATTTTAATCGAGGTTTCGCATGTGGCTGGGGCCACAATCAAACATTGGCACTAGCGGGAAGGGGAGGTAGGGTTTGGGGGTGGGGGGGTGGGGTTAGTATACAGAGCACCATTGCCGGTGCTACCTAGCACTTAGGATTTGCAGAAAAATCAAGAAAAAGACAATAACGAGTGGCGTCCGCCGGGGGGCCCCTGCTGGAAGCCGCTAGGTCGTGCCCCTCCCCTGGATCGCGGAACGACCTCACTGCGCATTAGGAACACAGCTGCTTGCACCCATAGAGGTGCTAGGCGATGATGTCGTCGGGAGGAATCCGTGGGCGGTCAGCTAGTACTGGCGCTGCCGCCAAGTACCAGCCAGATAGAGCTGGTCCGACCTGGGTGCAACGATGGGTGAAGAAGAAGAAGTTGAATAAAATAATCCACAAAAGGGGGCGGACCTAGGGATCTAGGGGGGCACTGGAAGGGACGGCGTGTCAGACAAAAATCGACAATAGTCAGGGGTAAAAATGAAAGAGATACTACAGCGGCAACATGCACTCTCCGGTTTTAGTTGAAATGCCAAAGTTGGAAACTCCCTCTTGTATATGTGGTACACGGCCCTTCCCAATCTACACCGTATCTGCTTGTGAGCGACACAGAAACTTGTCTCTAACCGTTCACTTCGCGTTCCACCCTTTCAAGAGGTGATGCATGGGTCGACTTTGCCATCCCGCCTTGGAATCCACTCCCTTATCGTCTGCTGTTGATTAGAGTGATGGCTGTTGCATTCCTTCTCACCTCTTCGAGGGGCTTGTATCCCTCATAGGAGTGATACAAGTTCAAAGGTCGCAGCCCAGAAATCTGGGGAGAAAATGCATCCCCAAATCGGCCAATCGATGATCGACTATCGGTCTCGAATTAGGGGAGCAAAGCCACGGCGACTTCCATGATGAAGCCCGCCAAGACACGTTTTCTACTGCGTAAGGACCCCTCTGAGCTTCTGTCCAAACGGCATGGATAGTTTTGCTTGGACGGTCTTGTTTGGCTGCCACAAAGTCGTGCTCCTCACCATCGCGAAAACGGCTGCTTCGGTGACTGTTGAAAAATGGGTAGGTTTCTGGCAGAAGGGCCGTACTACAAAGTGGTGCCAAATCTTCAATACTTAGCGGACTGAATTGGAATTTTGACCGCATACTCCCAAAAGATAGGCGCACATTTGGCGGAAATTTCATTGAAAATGACTCTTGTGATAGAGAAATAGGGCGGCAAAGTCACAGAGGACAATCAATCTTGGACAGAGGAAGTATCTTATAAATAACACAGCACTAAAGTGCTTCCCTCCTTAAGGGACACCAATATGCACATAACAAAGTACTACCAGCCTGCAGTTCTGAAGCTGCACATCACAACTGTATCAATGCAATTTGACCTTACGCTGCAGGGCACACTGTCGGCTGTCAGTCCCACCGGCCTTGGGTCTTTATTCCACACAATAGAAAGGCGAAAAACGAAAACACCCACCTTGTTCATGAACAGCTTGCTGCGTTTGTTGAATTCCGACGTGGAGGTTGTGAGCGCCTTGGACAAATTGGGGAAGTCCGGCACCGCGGTGATGAACAGGTCCACAAGACCATCCCCGTCCACATCCCCAAAGGTGCAAGATGAAGGGGCCGCCCCACTGGTGACGTTTTCCTGGGTTATGGTGATTTCTGTGAACTGGCGGCCGTCATTGCGCAGCAGCTGCCAGGGGGCGCCGAAGTTGAGGATGACGATGTCCTGTGCACAGGGACAGTGGCCCCACACGTTCAGTCCACTGAATTGCAAAAGGTCAGTTATGCCCCTTGGTTCCTGTTTCCTGATGCATGCTCTGTGTACAGCATCTGCGTGTGTGTGTGAAACGTGGCGGCCATTTGCATGACCTGTTGATGCAACGGATGACACTGGCACTGGGATTGGCAGCGGGATGCTGAGTGGACACATCGCCCAACTAGGAAAAGGGCAGCGATGCCCCATGCTCGAATGTGTGGAACTGAGTAGCAGGCAATCCAGCAGCATGAGACCAAGCTCCCTGTGGCCAGAATCATAGGGTGACACAGGTACCCACGCCAAAGTGATGAGCAAGCACATCGCCCAACCATCAAAGAGACAGTGGTGCGACATGCGCATGGCTTCTCAAGCATGCTTGAGCACATGCAGCCAGGTTGGTTGCAGCCAAAGCAAAACACAACCTTTGGGCTGGTGGGCACAAATACGAGATGTGGAATGGCACAAAAACCCAAACTGACAAACACATAAATACCAGTGTGAAAGAAGTGAAACAGCAGAAAGAATGGAACCAAAGCACCCTCGCCATTTTGTCGCGAAGGATGTTATAGACTCGCCTGGTCACCATCATTGTCGATGTCCCCAGCGCACACCCCATTGCCATCCATGTTGGCGAACCCCAAACCCCACCTTCCAGCGCAAGCCCCCCCCCGGCAGGAAGTCGAGAAGCTCAACTCCCCATCCTCGATGAGCCGGTTCAAGAACAGGCTGTGCTGCTGCCCTGGTCCAGACGGCACAAAGATGTCCAAGTCGCCATCGTTGTCAATGTCCAGGATGATGGCGCCAGGCCAGCCGTAGGCGCGGGTTGGCATGCCTCGCAGGTTTTCCTCTACGAAACCCACTGGCATTTCTGTCATATTCTTTACGCCCTCCTCATAAAGCTTGGACCACGTGGAGGGCGTCCTCTCAAATCCAGAAACGGATGAGTCATCCAGGCGCTCAAATTTTATGGACTCGACAGCGATGGCATGGAGAAGCTGCGAGGCACAGCAATGGTTTGATTTGGTGTCATGGGTCGATACTGACGTTGTGTTTTGAGCAATGTGAACCCCAATGCAAAGGCAGTGCTTACATATGCTTCCAAAGTTAGGGCATCAGAGACAGTGACTATTTAGAAAGCAGTTTTCAGAGGCATGTGTATTGCTGTGCACAGCACCCAGCAACAGCAAATTGTTGCCAGTTTGGGTTGTTTGCCAGGGTTAAAATCTGCCGCATGTTGATGATTGCCATCTGTGGTGATTTGTGAGATGCCGGGATGGTCCAAATACGAAAGGATAAGAGTGGACACAAGGTTCTGTTTGGCATGCAACATGTGCTGCACGCGTTCGATTTACATAACGAATTCTCTGCTAGCTGAAAAGGCACCAATTTGATTTGTCACAATTAGAGCTCAGCAGATATTAAACAAACCCCAACCCCACCCTCTCAGTTCATGAGTTCTAGCTTTTCCTTTTGCTCGTGTTGTGTGCTCTTCTCAACTCACTGGGATACTCAAAAACATCTTTTTGCAATATGGGAATGATTCTCACAAGTAATTGCTCAGGAGATGTTGCCTTTCGCATGGCCCTTAGTTGGTTGCCCTCAAAGTGCAGCACATGAATTACATAACGCTTGCTGCACAACAGTGCTGCACAGTTCTTGTCGATGCTCTCCATCACGACAAGGTCTTCCCGGCATGCCCTTCATAGCACCACCCAGATGGAATGCTGGCCGTGGACCGTGAGCTGGTCCCCATTGCATTGCGCTGCCAAGCACTCTGCCACACCCGGTGCAGCAAAAACCTTGCCACAATTGCACCCAACAGCTGTGCACCACCCTCAAACACGCACCCGCACATTACACACAGCCACCAGTACGCCATTTGACTCACGCTCACTCAGCACATACGGAATTGGTTCAATATTGCACCTGCAAACCCCGTCTTGACATAACCTGCTGTTGCCAATAGACAAATTTCTTCCTTCTCTTGTACCCATTTCTTTGTCAAGTGTCGTGAGGTTGCTGGACTGCCAGCACACTTACACTTCCTCCTCATTTGATTTTGTACGAGACACGTGTGCCACATGTGTCACTTGTCCCTCTCGCACATTTGATTCGTACGCTACACCGATTGATGCTGTGACGTCATGTCGATACAAGGAACAAACAAAAGCAAACACACTCGAGCCATGAAATCGTCTTCGTCTTCCACCTCGCCTGAAGCAACACTCTTCACATATCCATCCGCCCCCCAAATCAATTCCTGACCACGTCCCAACTGCAGTACTTTCCGCAGTACTCTCTAATCCAGCGACCCCAACGCCCCTCACCCCAGGTCTATTCCTGGCGACACCTGGAACGCCCGCGGCGCCGTCCAACCAACCCACCCTCACACAGAGTCATGGGACGCCCGTCGCGTAATGGCAATGACTGCCACGCAATGGCAATTACCGTCACGTAATGGCGATTGCCGCCCCGGGGTCCGTCTGGCCCCGCCCCGCTGGCCTGGCCTTGGCTAGGTCCCTTCGGGCCTTGGCTGTACTTTGTAGTAATTACAACATCTCCACGCCAACTGTCGTGTCGGTGGTACTTAAGGGACTGGACTGCCCGCTTATATACAGGGCGGTTCGGCGGGCGCCTGGATCGATCTCGGGTCCGGAGGTCACATCCTCTCTGCCATCCGCACTTCGACGCCTGCCCCCCGTCCGCGCCCTTGCCGACGCCCAGTCTGACGACCCGTGCCAGCCCTACTCCCGGACTCCCTCGCCACCGAGCCCACCAGAGACCCTCAGGTTTCTCCACCCGCGCGTCCCAGCGCCACTGGCCGCGACTGGCCAACTTCTGCAGCGGCACAAAGACTGGCCCGGGGAGGGATCCTTCGTCAGGCCTCCGGGCCTGGCTCGGTCCCTCCCGGATCGCGCCAACGCCGGGCGATCGGCTCTCCCCGCTTCACGAGAGCGCGGGCGAAATGCGCATGGCCCGGTGTCGTCTCTCCGGCGAAAAGGACGACGGGCCATGCCCACGGCGAAAGCCCCCCACCCCACCGACCCCGCCCGCCCACCCGTTGGGAGGAAGGGTGCTAAAGGGGTTGGACCACACTCGTACATGCCCCCCGCCAGGTGGTTTAGTGGCGCAGTGGGACATCCCGCTCAGAGGCACCCGGTTCGATCCCCGGTCAGACATCCTCTTCACCATCCGCGCTAAAACACCGCCCACCGCCACATGCACGCACACACGCAGAGACCCTGCCGGGTCAGATCGCCAATTCCGCATCAGTACCCTGGGAAAGCGGACCGGGGGGCTTCCCGGGCGCAGCGAGGACAGCGCGCCGCGATTGCCCATGCCGCCGGGCCGAGATGTGCGGAAGGACTTGGTCGCCTTTGCGTGAGGTAGACGCGCCGCGGGCATGACTGCAAAGATGAGCTGCAGGCGTCGCGGGGGCCATCACAAGCCCCCCGACAGGCCATGGGCGAAGGTTGGCCCGGCGGAAAGAAGTCCATCGGAGGTACGGCGCGGAGCAGCATGCCTCCCTGCCCGGATCCACTGTAGGAGAGCTGGGTCCTGGGCGGGGGCAGGGGGGGGCCACGCCAGCAGACCGATGACGGGATGATCACGCAAAACGGAATCCCCTCCCTCCCCTCCCCAACTCACCATGACGGTCGCGACCGTCCGCCGCAGCGCCGCGCATGTCTCCTGCCGTGGCTTCATCCCCGCTCGACGCGATGCGAATCGTGCGGGCTGTCCTGATCCCCGCCGGCTTTCACGGCCAGGCACCCCCCTTGCCCCTGGGTCGTCTGACGGGCCACGCGGAGGCAAGGCCGCCGACAATGGCCACCGGGCTGCTTGCCGAAAGGAGAAACGCCAACAGCGCTTTGTGACAAGGGGGAGGGGGGGAAGGGGGGGGGAGGGGGAGAGGGGGCCAGTGCTGGCTTGTGCCTGTGCTGCGGCTTCTGCCCGTGTGCTTTGGCCCTGCGGAGCCCGGGCGATGTACTGCGCCCAGGGGGTGGTCGACCGGGCTGGCGAGGCGAGGTCGATGCAGGGGTTGGGCCCACCGTGCTTGGGGTGTGGTTGTGAAAGGTACACAGCGGTACGGGGACAGGATAGGAGTGTTGGGGAAAGTACTGGCGTGATGTGGCGCTGGACCGTTTAGTGGGCGGGTGAGGGGCGGGGAATGTACAGTGTGCGTACGCCAGCGCCGCGGGCTGGTACTGCGGAGGTGCCTCTTGAGCGGCCGCCCGTGGCATGGCCAAAACGGGGCCGCTGTTGGGGCGGGGGCGGTGAAAGATTACTTTTCTGTGACGCTTTAATTCACAATAATTAATCCATCAAGTGCGATCCGCCACCACTGTTTTGGCGGAGCTGAAGGCCCGCTGGCCGTGATGCGGGCTGTTTGAATGCCAAATTCGACCCGCCGCGCTGGCTTGTTCTGCGCCATAATCACTAGAAAAAAAGGGCCAAATAACACGTGTTCAAACGTGCTCAAAGTTTACGGGTTTGTGTTATTTTTGTGCTCTTAGCGTGCAGAACTTTGATGAAATGTGTTTTGTGTGTGTTTGCAAAAGTGTTATTTGGCCTTTTTTCTCCTAGTGAATGTCACAGCATTGGAGCACAGTGTTGGCGGTCGCTTTGGAGCGATACATTCAACTGTTCCATTGTTTGTGTTCAACATTAGATTTCAGTGAACTGATCATAGACACTGCTTTGCTCGGGCAAAGGAAGAAGCTGACGCCTACCTCATTTTGGCTTGTTCTGTAGAACGATGATGATGACGACACATTCAATTTCTTGTAAATGTGCAACTTAACTGCAATTGACAAATGTGGCAGCGTGGAGCACAGTGGCGCGCGATGACGGCCTTGGAGCCTACCGTTCGGTGCGCCGCACATGCCTAATTAGGCATTTATAAATGGCATTTAGCCATTTATAAATGGCATAGTCGGGAAGAATGGGTATTGCTGTGAGTTTATGCCGCCAAAGCTTGCGAACACGTTGCAATAACGTTAGCGGGGCGGTGTTCTCTCGAAGCAAATACGGTCGACGTATCGATGAATGCACCGCACACAGCGCTGTGTGCTAGCTGCGGTTTGTCGATAAGCTGGCAGCGCCGTTGGAGCAAGCCACATGCCGTGAATACGATCTCCTCCCCACCACCCCACCCCAAATCCTACCCCAGCCTTTCAAGATTCATTTAATTGTTGCCAGTCCAGCATTGCTGGAGAATGGACGCACAATAAATATGCAAAAAAGGGGTACGAAACAAAAATAACAAAAGGCTGCAAACGCCACGCGGCTTGATTCAATCATTGAATCGTTCAATATGGCATTGATGCAGGCCGCGTGGCGATGGCAACTTTCCTTTACATTTTTTTGGTATGTACTGCTTTTTGTACCTTTTGCTGTGTGCGTATTAGTTCGAGCAGGTTCAGCCCCGGCCACCACTGACGTCATGCACGGCGGCGATTTTGACCGGTCAACCGGCGGCGCCGCCGACACGCCAGGTGGCACATCGTCGCCGCGCCATGCGTCCCTTCCATCCCTTCGCCAACCGCTGCGGCATGTTCTGCAAGCGTCGCCCCCGCACGGGCGCCTCCTCGCAGCACAACGAGCATGTACTGCGCGCATACACGGTCTTCCATTGCTACCTCATCCGGCCATCGCATTCCAAGCGCCGTTCCTGAACCGTGCGTCGGGCTGACCCAACCGCCGCAAAGCCGCTCCGGCGCACCATATTCAACATATGAATACCCTGTGCTGGCCACTTCCCTGTCTCGCTCTGCCACGCGCGCCCCTCCGATTTTCCAACTGGCCGGCAGCGCTCGCAGAGAGCGGCAGAGAGCGAACAGTGTGACCCACGGGACGGCGTCGAGCTCAAAAGAGTGAGAGGAGCGATCGCCCCCGTCTGTCTGCCGCGAACCGCCACCACTGCAAGACGTCAAGCGTCGTCGCCCTGAGAAGGCCCCATTCCCGCCGGGACCCCCGGAAGCTTCCTCAGAAGCTCGCCCTGCCTCGGAAGCTGCCCGCCCCGCGCTCGGCGCTGTTTCGGCAGTTTGACCTCGGCCCTGTTTTCGAGGAGCTGCGGGCGCCCATTCACGGCGCCCAACCTCGTGAGTGTCCCCTTCCTGGCTGCCTCCCACCGCCTTCATCGCGTCGGGACGCCGTTGTATCCTATTCTGCAGTGGAATCGTTTTCTTGGGCCCCCATTGCGTGGCCCACGTTTTCAATTTGTTGCTAGAATATCTTCAGTCCATCCGCCCGTCATTGGCCCCATGAATCAAAGATCCGGGCGGTCGGCTGACATACTGATTTGTACATGTTGTGGCAGCGACGATGGCATGTGACTGTACATTGTAGAGAAGTTCAACATATGAGAGCGAAGATGTATATAACCAGCAACTCCCAACCTTAATTAGCTGAGACGTATAGATGAGCCAAAACACCAACCATGAGGAATGGCGTGGGAAGGCATGTGCTAACCGGGGCCCCGGGGAGGGGGGGAGGATAGAAATATTCTGCGCGCATCTGCGTGGCTGTCTCAAATGTGAATACTGGCTGCTGCCCCTACGGGGCGAGAACACTGTTACAAATACGACCAAACGAAACAAATGGACAAGCGCCCCAAAAGGATCTCAACGGGGAAGGGAACCCTTTCTGGATAGCACACTGAGAATTTTTTTCA